GTTGGCAGACACAGTTCTTCTGGCTTCTCAGCTGAGACCTGTCTGGCTTGGGAGACCCTTCAGGTAGCGACACTATCACTAGCATAGCTCTCAACCTCACAGAAGCACACAAGCCCCTCCACCTCAACAAGGCCTGTGCTCATGGAGGGGCTTGGTGCCGTTGCTGTTGTTCTTTGGACTACACCTGCTAGAATCCCTCATCCAATGCCATGCTGACTGGGGGATTCTGGGTGTTTTAGTCAAATAAACAAAAATTCTTTTCTCAAGGTTTGTGCACTAGCATGCATGCACATATTTCATCATTAAAAATAAACACTTATACGACAGACCGTAAGGATGTCTCCCACATATCTCCATTCCAAAAACTTGTCTTAAAAAGAAAACTGTATCCCAAGTTCCCAGCAAGTTTACTGTATACCACAAAAAGCACAGATTCTGTCACACATAAAACTCTCCCCAAACTCCAAACCAAACCAAATAAAATAAAATAAAAAGGTTACTCCTCAAAGCAGCTTTCCTCTTGTCCACACCCAGAACTTCACAGATAAAACACAAAAAATCAAAGGTTTTCCAGAATGGAGCTGCAGCAGAAGGATTCCCTCAGACATCAAGGAAAATTGAGGCAAAGCAGCAGCCTACCTGTTGTTTTATGGCAATCCTCCTGCCCAGGGGTGACTATACTTGCTCATTGGCTTGGGACAGAAACCTGTCTTAGTCAGTTTTCCATATGAGTCCATTTATCGGGCTTGTCATCCTTCCCCTGCTGCTCCTCCCTTCTCCTTTGTTTCTTTAGGGGCTGAGAAAATTTGGCTGTTGAACTCTTCTGTGCCAAGAAACGGTGGTGATGCCCAAAGTAGTAGAGTCTCAGTTTCATCATTTCCCCCTCCAGATATAATTTAGGCTTGATTTCATCTAGGATACACTTGTTTGTCGTTCTGGCCATCCAGGGTATCCACCAAGTTCTCGTCTAGCACCACATTTCAAACAAATCAATTTTCTTCCTGTCAGCTATCTACTGTTCAGCTTTCACACCCATACATAGTAATTGGAAATATGATACTATGAATGTTCCTGGCCTTTGTCTTCAGTGACACATTCTTACACTTGATGATCTTTTCTACTTCCTTCATTGCTACTCTTTCGAGTCTCAATCGTCTTCTGATTTCTTGGCTGCAGTCTCTACTGGATTTATGACTGAACCAAGGTATAAAAAATCTCTAACCACTTCAATTTCTTCACTATCAACGTCAAAGCTGCATATTTCCTCTATACTCTTGATTTTTGTCTTCTTTGTGTTCTTTCATTTTCACTGAAAATTACTTTAACTCATTGCTGCTTCCTGCCAGTAAAATGGCGTTATCAGCATATCTTAAAGTATTGATGTTTATCCACCAATTTTCACTCCTACTCCATTTGAATCCAGTGCAGCTTCAGCTTTCTGTATACATTTTATGTACAGATTGAACAGATAAGGGCATAAAATCACCCTTCTCTGTCCTGTCTGCCTGTAGGAAACCATTATATTATATTATATTATATTATATTATATTATATT